AGGCAAGCAAGCAATAAAGCAAGCAAGCAAGCAATCAAGCAATCAAGCAAGCAAGCAAGCAAGCAAGCAAGCAAGCAAGCAAGCAAGCAAGCAAGCAAGCAAGCAAGCAAGCAAGCAAGCAAGCAAGCAAGCAAGCAAGCAAGCAAGCAACAAGAGCTTTTGGTTGATGAGCTGCCTGCCATTTGTCATACCCCTTTGCCTGGATCCGCCCAGTGGCTTGGGGTCAGCCCGGGCGGGGTGGGGCTCCTGCAGACTGCGCGGTTTGAGGCGCAGAGAGGGCTCAGCGTGCCAAGGCACCCCTCAGCAAATGGGGAAGGGTCCCCCACTACTGGTGGGGCACTGGCCAGCGCCCGAGTGCTATGTACAGAGGGGGTGCGGGCCATGTAGCTACGGAAGGGTGCGGCCGGGGGAAACAACCTGAGTAGGTCGATCGGCGTGTGGTCCGATGGTGGAAGGGGGGAGGAGGGGGGAGGAAGGGGGGGAGACAAGACACAGGGACACATCTGGGAGATCGGGCACAAATTGGGGGGAATGGGTGTCATTGCCATGCAGCTCACAGAGCAAAAGGTAGAATGGAGGAGATTGAGGTCAGCCAGCTTGCCACGCCACACTAACTGTACTACGGTGCTAGACCACTCTGGCAAGCACAGCACCTACCTTGACATGATCAATGCCACATTCAGATCAACCTCCAACAAAGAAGGCAATGCAGGTCTTGAGCTGTGGCAGCCAAAAGGGGGAGAGGTGCATGGCATCAATGGCAACTTGTCCATCACTGAGGAAAACAGCAGGTGGTTCATGAACATTGCCACAACACGGTGTGGCAGGAGTTTGCCTCACTCAAGCATCTTGTGATGGACGTGCTTCAGAAGACGGCCAAATGGCTGGCTGATGCGTACGATATGGTCAACACAGACAGCGCAGGATTAGCCAGGTCACGGTCCGCAAGATGCTGGCGTGGGGACACAGTCAATTCCGCCAGCACCTCCTTGAGAAGGTGACCAAGACTGGCACGCGCGTGATCCTTGTTGACAAGTCGTACACAAGTCAGTCTTGCTCGAGGTGCAGTGTGGTCTGCAAGGTTGGCGGCAGCAAGGTCAAGATCTGCCACGCATGCGGACTCCAAGCTGACCACAACACCAACACCGCGCGCAACATCTTCTTTAAGTACTGTACTGAGTGAGTCTATCTTTGTTGAGCAGGTCACAACGTGATCTACTTGTACATACTGTACTGTGCAACGATTGGTGAGACGAGCGCTGGAGACGCGAGAACCGGCGACGGTGACGGTGACGGGATTGAGGCATGCTGGCACACTGATGACGGGAAACGGGTGCCCAACCTGTGAGCTCGGAATTTTTCCTCTTTCTCGGGAAAAGGGCGGCGGCGCCTGCAGCCCTGCACCGTACTGCCTTCGACCGGCTTCGGCCATCGTCCATCTTTTGGCCAGCCAGGCCCGTGTGGCGGCGTTGTCTGGCCTGGCCTCGCCTCGCCACCGGCCCAGGCTTCTAGACTCACTAGCCTACTTAGACGGTCTACGCCTCCACCTCTGCCCACCACTACTCGCCCTCTGTTCACAGCCCGGCACAGCCCTAGCCCCGCCTCGTCTTCGTCCACACCACCACCACCACCACCCTCGCTCGCCTCTTGACCATGGCCAACCAGAAAAACGCCCAGGAGCTGCTCAAGTGGGGGCTGCAGCACACGCCCGACAACGGCGTCGACGGCTCGGCCTCGGTGGCGCAGATCAGCGCCGACATTGAGGCGGGGCGGCGGCCCGACCTCTCCGACCCGCGCCTCTACGAGGCCATCATGGGCAAGTCCGAGGCGCAGATGATGCAGGAGGAGCTCGCCGTCGCCCTCGACGCCACCAGGCCCCTCGACGACCGGTGCACCGCGCTCGACAACTTTGAGATGCTCATCGAGACCATCGACAACGCCAACAACATCACCAGCATGAAGATGTGGACGCCGCTCGTCGAGCTCCTCTCGGCCTCGGAGCCGCGCATCCAGACGGCCGCCGCGTGGATCGTCGGCACCGCCGTGCAGAACAACGACAAGGGCCAGGTCGCCATCCTCGCCTTTTCGCCGCTCGCGCCCCTCCTCGACCTCCTCCGCTCCGACGACACACAGACCCGCAGCAAGGCAATGTACGCCCTCAGCGGCCTCCTCAAGCACAACCCGGCCGCCGTCAAGCAGTTCCAGGACATGGACGGCTGGTCCCGCCTCCGCGGCGCGCTACTCGACCCCAACATCACCCTCCGCAGGAAGACGGCCTTCCTCATCAACACCCTCCTCTTCCAGGATCCAAACGTCCCCGGCTCCTCGTCTCGTGCCGCCAACCGCAGCGCTGAAGCGACGACGGCATCGACGAGATCATCGACCTCGACAGCGCTGACGACGACGGCAGTCGCACCCGCTTCCAGCGCGACTGCAGTGGCACCTTCGTCTTCCGATCCGCGCGGACCGGGTCCTGCGCCCCTCGAGCGCGGGCCAGAGACGATGCTGACGGGCGTCGCGCACCCAGACGTAGCCGTGGCGGTGCTGGAATCCGGTCTGCTCCGCACCCTCCTCAGCTCGCTCC